ATACTAAACTTTACACATTACATTAGGCTACACACTAACGTGACGTTTAGGCAGTTTGTTTAACTATTATACATGATGTACGTTTTTCTTTGGGGGGGGGTAATGAAAGTGTTCTAAAACGCGACATTAATTTCTTGACGACCTCATATATTGGCATTAAATGTAGTATGCAAAGAATAGTCCTATCGAAAGGAAACGTTATATTGTTAGTTCCTTTTTTCACCACCGAACATGGATTGAAAAATGATAAAGATATTGTTACGACAGCGGAAGTCACGTGGCCCTGGTAACATGTCATGAGTTTCTAGAAGGATCGTGACTGTTCCTGGCAACTCTAGTCTTTTCTAGGCGCCCTCTATTTTAGTATATAAGCTCGGCAAATAAAGCGGAGATATAATTGCAGACAGACAGATAACTGAGTCAAGCGAGCGGAAAATTAACAAACGAACACAGAGACGTAACAATATAGATAAAACGAAGGGGATGGAGGGGGTAAAACAATAATATCCTGTTAACTCCAATGTCTCTTTCTGTAATCAATTGTCTAGAAAATACAGGCACGTGCGATCTGTAGATCCAAATCAGGAATTTTCAACGATCAGTAAACATCCATGAAAAGGTTATTTATTCAATACCAATGTGAAATTTTATTAAAACTACTTTCTAATGCCATGTATATATTCATGTAATGTTGAAATAAAACCCGTATGGAGATGCCTGACTTACAAACCTAGTTTTAAAAAAATATAACTTTATAATGGGGAAACAGATGTGGTTTCAAACCACGTTGTACATCTACGTAATGCCAACGCTTGACAATTGTCACGCCTACTATTCCATTGCTGTCATTACGTGGTTTAAACACCCAGAAAACTGAACCTGCTCGTTTTCAAAACGTACCAAGGTCACCAGTTACCATGACGACATAACAAACAATATTAATAAAAGTATTGTTGTAAGGTCGTTTTGAGAAGAACCAGGTTTACTACGTATAATTAAGAAATTTTTTCGTATAGAAACGAATACAACACGGACAGGCTTGTAAAACTCAAATAACTATTCTTAAAAAACTAGCTTTTGAAAGACTGTGTATGCTTTCCAGAAACTTCTAAAAAAAAAGACCAACGAAACTACACAGTAGAGGAGCTGAATCGCGAAATAATAAGTTTTTACAAGGTTATTGAAAAATCGATAAATATTTATTAAAGCAAAGAAAATTCGCCGCTTTTCACCTCGAGGATTAATAAGCTCGTTCACCCAGAGCATCAACCATTTTTATATTAACGTAATGTGCTAAATACACGATCAACAGTAGCAGGAGAAGTAAAATATGATCGTTTCAACCATCTTCTATACACTAAGTATTTAAACTGAAGATCTCAGAATCAGATCTATTCACGGATCTTCTCCAGGCAACGCAGTAAATATTCTATTGGAGAAGCTCAGTCTCTCCCCCCCCTCTTATCCCACTTCCGACGCGAACAGACACTCTCCGATAAGGTTAGTGTAATTTTATGTACAAAACTGTACAATGGGCTATCTCTGCTGTCCCGCCCACTGGATTCGAACTCCAAATTTTAGGTTTATAGGAACCCAAGCCTCTACTAGGGATAGTCAAAATAAATAGATAATCAGGGTCTCCTTCTGGCATTGAGGAATATTGTGTTGTCGCTATAGTAACGTAATAATTAATGAACATGAAACTTTTGGCCACAGGGAAAGCTTGGAAATGTACACATCTATTTCAACTCTGACGTCAGCTTTTTCCAGGTGGGTGGAGCTCAGGTGGGCCGAACAGAATATAGGGGGGGGGGGCATTAGGCGTAAATATTTGTAGATTATGAACGTGTTGGACACGCTTTTGGAAATAGTTAAGGCAAATTTTGGCGTGGCTATAGCTCCCC